TTTTTTTTTTTTGGAGATGTCAGAGATTGCAGAGTAGACTGCTGCAGCGCAATCGGAGGACATTATTCGATCCCAACAACCTGCAAATTGCAAAATATCCAGGCTGGATGGAAAAAATTACCTTAAATGGTATCAACTTGTTCGCAAGGTGCTAAAAGAAAAAGGGAAGATCAGCCATCTCCTGGGTATGGGGCTGAAACTAGGAGATCCTCGTTTTGAAGCTTGGGATGAAGAGGATTACATGATTATGACGTGGGTGTGGAACTATATAACTCCTGAGATTAGTTACATGTATATTCTTCGCTACTACCAAGGATATTTGGGAAACAATTCAACAGACACACTCCAAAGCTAGATACGTGGCTCAAGTATATGAGGCCAAGGTGAAGATGATTGCTGTAAAACAGGGAAGTAAAACAGTTACCGAATATGCCAACCAACTGAAATATTTGTGGCAAGAACTTGATCATTATAGGTTGACAAAAACCAAATGTCCCAAAGATGCTATTGTTCTAGAGGACTTCATAGAGCAAGATAGAGTCTATGATTTTCTTTGATCAAGTCAGAATCCAGATTCTTGGCAAGCAGGAAGTTCCGCGATTTTAAGTGGTGGCATTAATTCAAGGTGAGAAAGCAGAAGAGGTCTGATACTTAAACCACAGAGCACTGACAGCTCTACTATGGTCGCTAATGGTGGCAATCATTCAGCCACAAATGTGGAAAGATCTCCAATTGTTGGAAATGGAAGACCTGACCAACCAAAAGTTCAGAACCATGATTACAAGGATAGTTTGTGGTCACTTACCATAAGAAAGAACGTCAAAAGCGTGAACGGTGTTGGAAGCTTCAAGGAAAACCTCCAAGCCAAGAGTGGGGACAAATAGAAGAACAGTCAAGGAACAATGTCAGGTCCATGTTGCTGCAATACAGTAGAATGAAGCAGCAGGGTGAGATCTCTTACTGGCAATCTTGACAAACCTTCAAGTACTTGTTCATTGGCGTATTCAGGTGAGTCTCCATTTTCTATTGGATTAAATGTCTGAGGCATAACCTTTCCTAGGCTCCTGGGTCATGATGCAGGAGCTACCAATTATATGACCCACTCACCCAATATTTTTTTTCCCATATTCCCCATGTCCAAGCAATAGGAAAATAGTCACAGCTGATGGTTCTCTAACCACTGTAGCAGGTATAGGAGATGTCAAAATAAGCCGATCATTGACCTTAAAAAACGTTCTCCATGTCCCTAAACTATCCACAAATGTTGTTTCTATACAAAAACTCACTCAAGATTTACGCTACAATGTGGTTTTTCATCATAGTTACTGTGTATTTCAGGACGAGGATTCAGGAAAGATGATTAGACATGCTAGAGAACAGGATGGGCTCTACTACCTCGAATCACCAAATCAGTCAAGCATTATCAAGGGCAAATTACATCAATCTTTTGTTTCAGAGTCTTTTTCATCCAATAAAGAGAGTTTGGCTTCACCATCGCCGACTTGGACATCCGTCGTTTAGGGTTATAAAAATTCTGCGTCCTTTTTTTAAAGGTCTAGGTGTTGAAAATTTTCATTGTGAAGTGTGCAAACTCGCTAAATACAAATGTGTGTCTTTTCAAGTTAGTAATAAAAGACCTTCTATTTCTTTTTGTCTCATTCACATTGATATTTGGGGTTCTTTTGCTCATTCATTGATGATTGTGCTCGTGTTAGTTGGATTTTTTTGCTCAAACATAAATATGATGTTTGTACAATTCTTCCAAAATTTTGTTCCATGATTAGGAATCAATTTGAGGTCAATATCAAAAGGTTTAGGTCAGATAATGCAAGGGATTATTTCAATCAAGTCCTATCTCCATACTTTCGGAAGGAAGGGATAACACGTGTCATCTTGTGTTAGTACCCTATAGCAAAATGGAGCAGCAGAAAGGAAAAATAGACACCTTCTTGAATCAACCCGAGCCTTCATGTTTCAGAGAAATATACATAAATCCTTTTGGGGAGAAGCGGTTCTTACAACCACACATCTTAAAAATCGTTTAACTTCCAGAATCTAAGGATTCAAGACTCTAATGGAAATACTCTCAACATTCCTAACCTACACACTACAAATAATCTTGTCCATAGGATATTTGGGTGCATATCATTTGTCCATGTCTATAATCAAAATTTGGGAAAGTTGGATCCTAGGGCGTTAAAATGTGTCTTTGTGGGTTACTCATCGACCCGAAAAAAGTATAAGTGTTACCACCCTCCATCAAATTCTATGTCTCGTTGGATGTTACTTTCAATGAACAAGAGTCATATTCCACAGCTCCTTATCTACAGGAGGAGAATTCAATAATGGAATATAAGGATAGTTTTTTACTTGATCTACCGTCACTTTCCAAATCCAAATCAATTCTTCATTCCACTATGCCAAATCCTGTGTATCCTATGTCTAAACTCCTGCCTGAAAATCCCCAAGAAAAGACAGACTCTGCTCTTGAAAATGTAAGATTTGGCAAGGGCAAGGTGTTTTTCTATGAAGAAGATGGTCATCCCTGAATCTGTACAAGTTCGAGACTCCAACCCAAATCTTGAGAATGAGGTAACAATTTCCAACCCTTCATTGCAAGATGAAATTGAATCTAATGTGAGCAATAATGACCAAGACCTTCCCATTGCTCTTAGGAAATGAACTAGAGAACGGACAAACCAACCTTTATATCCTCTTGCACATTTCTTGTCTTTTAAACATTTTTCACCAACTCATAGAGCCTTCCTTGTTAGCTTAAACACCATTGTCATTCCTACCACCTTATCTGAGGTTTCGTCCTATGAGAAATGGAAACAAGCTATGAATGTGGAGATGGAGGACGTGAAAAAAAACTTGGGAATTGGTGAAGTTGGAAAGATACAAGGCAAGGTTGGTGGCCAAAGGTTATACTCAAACATATGGAATTGATTACCTAGAGACTTTTACTCCGGTTGCAAAAATGATAACTGTTAGAATCTTGTTGTCATTAGCAGCTAATTATGGTTGGGAATTGCGGCAGTTTGATGCTAAGAATGCATTTTTGCATGGAGCACTAGATGAAGATATTTACATAGAGGTCCCGCCAGGTTATGGGAATAATTTGGCTGCTCATACTATGTGTAAGTTGAAGAAAGCTTTGTATGGACTTAGACAATCACCAGAGGCATGATTTAGAAGATTAATGAGAGTTATGATGGCCATTGAATATAGACAAAGCCAAGGGGATCATACGCTCTTCATTAAACACTCACCTTTAGGGAGAGACACAATTTTCTTCGTATAATGTCGATGACATAATAGTGACACGGAATGATGTAAAGAGAGACAATTTCTAAGTCAGTGTTTGGGCAAGGAGTTGGAGATCAAGGCATTAGGGAGTTGAAATATTTTCTTAGGATCGAGGTAGCTCATTCTAGGCAAGGAATTTTTATCTCCCAACAAAAGTATGTTATAGATCTCCTCAAAGAAACAGGTAAGATAGCTTGCAAACTAGCAAGTACTCCAATAATTCCAAATCTTAGACGTGGAAAAGCAAAGGAGGATATTGCGGTAGACGGGGAAACGTACCAATGGTTGGTAGGAAGACTTATTTATTTGTCTCACACACAACCGGATATGGCATATGCAGTAAGTCTGATTAGCCAATTCATACATAGCACGAAGGAAGTTCATCTGCAGGCAACCTACCGAGTACTGCAGTATTTCAAAGGAACTCCAGGAAAAGGAATTATGTACAGAAGAAACTTAAGACTAGTACTTGAGACATTCACGGATGCAGACTATGTAGGATCAATGGTTGATAGGAGACCTACATCAGGATATTGCATTTTCTTGGGAGGTAATCTTTTATCTTGGAGAAGCACGAAACAAAATGAGATAGCCACGTAAAGTGCCAAAGCAAAATTTAGAGCAATAACACAAGAAGTATGTGAGCTACTGTAGTTGAAGATCATCTTAGAGAACTTAAAGATCAAGTGGGATGGACCTATGAGGCTTTACTGTAACAAGTCTACTATCAATATTGCATTCAACCCAATTCAATATGAAAGAACTAAGCACATCGAGATAGACAAACACTTCATCAAAGAAAAGTTAGATAGTGGCTTGATTTGCACAACCTACGTGTCCACTACAGGTTAGTTAGCTGATGTGTTTACAAAGGGACTGAACAGTACAGTGTTTTAGACACTCATTTCTAAGCAGGAATGGAAAATATCTATTCACCAGCTTGAGGAAGAGTGTGGAAATGATGTATATTACTTAGTTTCCTATTTAGTTATAAATTAATGTAAATCTAATGAGTGCTCCACACTCATGATATCTATGCCACTT